AAAGAAGTACAGATACTCTACCGGGCTGCTGTGGTGTGTAGACAGGCTTGTCAGCGTGGATGAAGAGAGAGCCATTGTCATGGAGGACTGGCATTTTTTTCTGATTTTGAAAAATGTTCGACACAACTTCCAAATACACATATGAATATGAGCTTTGTGCTTCACCCAACTGTTTGGTCTGAACCTGTAAAACAACAAAGAAACACCACGATGGGAAACTGTGAATGTAGAGTCTTAATGCATGCTGATACTGAAAGAAAAAAGCAAACACTCTAATCTCATAAGACTAAAACTGAGCTTGTGCATTGCATCATTTTCAAAGAGGTGCACTGGGCTGGAGAGATGGCTCAGTAGTTAAGAGCACTGGTAGATCTCCCAGTAGACAAAGGTTGAATTCTCATCACCCACATGGCAGCTGAAACCACTTCTGACTCCAGATCCAGGGATCCTAGGCCCTCTTCTGTCCTCTGTAGTTATTGCACACAATGGTACCCAGACATACATGCAGGCAAAAGTACCCATACACATGGATTTTAAAAGATAATAATGAGCCACTTGTAGTGGTGCACACCCTGAATCCATGCATTTGGGAGGCAGAGGATGTCCAGACTCTGTGAGTTCAAGATCTACAGAGCTAGTTCCAGGACAGCCAAAGCTATTAGAATATCCTTGCAGACTAAGATTAGCATCTGCTATGCCAAACCATCTTGTTGGAGTCAGATCAACCGTTCTGGTGATGACTCTCTATCTAAGCAGATGGTAACATCTCACCCTCTCTAGGTTGTTCCTTTTCCCAGCCTTGTCTTGAAAACAGCAATTAATAGTAATCATAATAATAAATACTTCTACAGTACAGCACTATAGAAGCTGAGGCAGAAGGATCTTGTGTTTCAAGTCTATCTAGGACTACAAGGTACAAATTTGTCTCATAAACATAATCAGCCAAACAAATATACTAAGACCAAACAGGAAAAAAAATAATTTAGGCTGCCAAATACCCTTCATAGTCTGTGTCATAAAAAATTTTAGCACTAAGCATTCAGAAATCTTTTTGGTGCCATTTGAGACATATTTCACAGAATTACTATTATAGAAACTTGTAAGAAACCTTTGCTTTATCAGCTTCTGGATGCATTGTTTTCTCTGTTCTTCTCATCACACCACAAGCCTCTGTGCCCACATCATAGACACACATTCAACTTTGTGTGTGCCATTACCATCATCTTTATATTCAATGATATGAGGATTGCATATAGTAACACAGATAATAAAAGGAAAGTATATTTCCATGAAAATTTAGGGTTCAGAAACAGGGATAAACTTGAACACTAAAATCAACTGCATTGAGGTTATTACAAAAGTTTGGAAACAGTAAAAAACAAACTATTGATTTTCTGTGCTGTGATTAGTTATAGATGTCTTTGAGTTGTTTATCTACATAAAACAATACTATAGCTTCTACCATGGCTGTGGGAGTGGGGGTGTCTCTGACTCTTTCACAGGCTCTTGGGACCCTTTTCCTCCTACTGGTTTGCCTTGCACAACATTAAAATGGGGGTTCAGGCCAAGTGTTATCCCATCTCGCTATGCCATGCCCAGTGGATATCCTGGGAGGCCTGCCCTTTCCTGAAGAGAAATGGAGCAGGAGTGGATCTGGGGAAATGGAAGGCAGCTGTGGTGGTGGAGAAACAGGAGGAGTGGAGAGAGGGAAACTGCAGTCAGGATTATTGAAAACAAAAACAGTATTCATTAATTGTGGAAAATTCATTTGAAAAAGTGGATTCAAGGACAAGACTGAGACAACACACTTAATTGGCAAATATACTTTGTAGTGTTAACATAAAATTAAGTTCATGTGTATCAATGTTTATGATTCCTCCATGGTCCTCAGGCTCCTGAGATGACCAACAAAAGTAGCTCAGTGAGGTTTCCTGTGGTGACAGACATGTCTTGTAACTATGCAGTCCTAACACATGGCTAGTGCCCATGAGGAACTCAAGTATTACACCAGTTACATTTAGTTGATTGAATTTAAAGACAAATGTGGCTAGTGGCTACCATGCCTCGTAATAGAGTGGCCAGAGAAAATAAGAGTTTGGAGAAATGAACTTTAAATTTTCATAAACCAAGCACTTGAGAAATGGTTCTTTACAGAAATTAGAAATTTATTCTCAAGATCATTAATAAAATAATTTCTGTGTTTTGTTATAATTGATTCCAAGTAATGTTTCTCAGTTGAATCCATCTACAACTCCAGCCCCGGGGATCTGACACTTCTGATCTCCCTAGGTACCCAAGTCATGTCTCACCCATTCACTCCCAAAAGCACATTCATATAATTGAAATTAAATTGTTCTTAAAGATGAAAAAAGATGCAAAAGCTCTTAGACAAGTTAGCTGTGGTAGCTAGATGATGATGACGATGACGATGATGTTGATGATGATTATAGGTAGATATATAGACAGAGAGATTATGTAAAGATGTATGATAGATGGTAAATAGATGATGGGAAGATGACATATAGATGGAAAGGGATATGACAGATGATACATAGATATAGATAGATAGATGAAAGGTAGATAGATAGATGATAGATAGATACATATAGATTGATGACAAACTAAAACTAGAGATAAACATAGAGGCATTACCACAGTGTTTTAAAAAACTCAGCAACTTGTTAGCATAAGTTTTGAAAACTATATTCCAATACATTTGAAAATAAGACACAGATAAATTTCTTGAAATATATGACCTATGAAAATTAAATTAAGAGAACGTGCACAGGTTGAACCAATCTATAATAAGCCAATGAGATTGAAACAGTAATAACCTTACTAAAAATACCCAACCCCAGATGTAGTTACAGCGGACCCTGTGCTGACCATACTATTCCATAAAATAAAAAGTGGGCATGGGCACACTTTGTTCACAAGAACAAACATAACTATTCTATTCAGTGTTTTGTGTTTCACTCATCACTAACTGATGTGGGATAATGTTCTTGTTCGCTGTAAGGATGTGTCACTCATATTGATTTAATAACATGCTGATTGGCCAGTACCCAAGCATGAATTTTAGGCTGGGCTTCCAGACTAGGAGAAATCTGAGAAGAAGAAAGGCAGAGTCTAGTTGCCAGCCATGCACAGAGGAAGCAAGATGAGAATGTCTTACTGAGAAAAGGTACCAAGCCATGTAGCCAAACATAGATAAGAATTACGGGTTAATTTAAGTTGTAAGAGCTTGGTAGTAAGAAGCCTGAGCAATAGGCCCAACAGTTTGCAGTTGACATAAGCCTCTGTGTGTTTGTTAAGGACTAAATAGTTGAGGGACAGGGTGGGACAGAAGTTTCCTTCTACATTAATGACTGTTAACCATCTCATCACCACACATCTGTGGAACAATATTAACAACTCTAATTTTACCAGTGTTCAAGCTTTGCAAAGTTTACCAAAAATACATGAAGAAAAAGATAAATAAATACATACTGTTAACACTGCCGAATTTTGGAATTTATTTTCTGGAGATAAATTAACATAGCCTGAAGAGTAGGTCCTATTTTTGTCAGGATAACTTCTTAAAGAGATTGTCGCATCAAATGCTTCGGTGTAGCCATGGGCTTGAATTACAACATTTTCAGATGCTCCGACCTGGAAGACTTTCGGTGTTGAAATAACATAGCTGTTAAAACGGGAAAAGAAAAGGCCCACTACCATTGCAGGTTTTCTCACACATCTGATATTTTTTCCTTCATTCCAGGTCAATTTTAAAAACCTGTTTTAAGACAGGCAGTGGTATCATAAGCCTTTAAGCCCAGCACTGAGGAAGCAGAGACAGGTGTTTCCCTGAGTTGGAGGCCAGCCTGGTCTACAGAGTGAGTTTCAGGACAGCCAAGGTTGCACAGAGATATCCTGTACTTAAATACATTTCAAATTAAAATGATATTTTGAAAGTCAAAATTTATTATTCTGGAAAGCGTACGTTTTCCAGGAAGCGACAGGTTATAATTAAGCCTAAACAACAGATAAGAGATAAAAAGCCATCAAGATTAATGGCCTGAGTTTGTTCCCAGAAACCTGCATAGAGGGAGGGAGGAATTGATTCTTAGTAGGTTCCCTTTGACCTGCCCATGTCTTCAGTGTGATATGTATGCCTCCCTGCACCCAGACAAAAATAAACACATAGTTTTTAAAAGCTTACTGTGGAACTTCCCTTCACATAAACTTTGGTCCATATGGATGTATCAATCATGCAGTCTGCTCATGGGAAGAAATTTAATCTTGTGTATTTTTCCTCACTCAGAATTCCTGGTCATTGGGCTTGCACAGAGAAGCATATTGCTTGGGTTGTTACTATTTTTCTGCTGACATCTGTATGGCGTCCCTCATTTCCTGCAGGCTCTATCTGCACATCACCTTTATCAGAGAGCCTTTCTGTCCAGAGCCTTAAATGTGACCTTTGGTTTCTGTACTCTCCTGTTTTCTTCATGCTACTGGAACTGCCTGTCCTTATTCATCCATTCTTTCCATGGCTCATCCATTCTATCCTTGCATATTTTGATCTTTCATTGGCTCCTTCATTCTGTCATTGGCTCACTCATTCATTGATTTATTCATTCACTCAGTCATTATCTGCTTCTTCGACTAGAATGCAGTCCCTAGGAACAGTCTTCTCCCACCCTCAGAACCTATTACAAGGTAGGTGTCGTAACAGTTGGCTGGTTTGTCATCTTTCTTAGACTGAAAATGACTCGACACTTATTAAAGCACATCTGGTCAGTTGAGTCGATGCTGGTTTCAGGGAGTCAACTAAGGAATGTCATCCTCATACCTCGAATGTGGATAATCACAACATCCCACAGACCAAGGGATCCCATGCAACGGGGGAGGGAGCTGGGTTGAGTGCAAGCATTCTTTATTTGCTTCTGAGTAGAACCCATGGACACGGATCATGAGGGTCCAGGTTCTGGTGATTAATCTACCTTTCCCTGAGCTTCAGTTGCTTGTCTGTCAAAAAGGAATACATAAAAATAGATGGCAGTACTCATGGATGACTGTGACCTTGTAATGAAGTCTGAGGGTAGAACTGTGTGGCAGGCTTACCCATTAGTCCACGTTTCCTGGCATTTATATTTCTACAGTTCTGACACTGTCAGGGAGGAAGTGAAGTGCTGAGCAGGAGACTACAGTGAAATCCTGTCTCCCTAGCAGTGTGACCCTGGACCCCTCACTTCTCCTGTCTGGACTTGCCATCGCATGTGGACTGAGCAGGCTCTGCACATTAGCCAAGGCCTATAGCACCGGTTAGCCAGGGAGCTGAAGGCAGAGTCTCATGTGGACACGTGATTTGAGACCGGCCCAGACAGCATAGTGAAACCTCATGGTATAAAGAAGAAAAGAAAAAGAATATTTCAGTGAGGTGATTTTCAGTTAAATTCCAATGCGAAGATATTTGAGCACTATTAAAAAGGACAAGATTTTGGTAGCGATAAAATTATGACAAATTGGCTTATGAATATAGAAGTAGTTCTAACCATAGTTTTAAATTTTATCCCTTAGTGGGAATGCTTCATGACCCACTGTAACTAATCTTATGCATCACTAATTAAAATAAAATTTTGATTATTAGCATTTGGTTATATAAGACTACCCTATTGGAGTTACTCTGACTTCACTGTACGTAGAATAAGAAAATTACAAACTAAGTGTCAAGTACAAGTTGGTGATGAATGCCAAAATAATTGACTATCTTCGTTGGACGTTGCCGACTACAGAAGCAGTGTATTAGCTGCTCCCCAAATCCAGATGTGTCCTCAGCTCTCTCATGAGCAGATGAGACTATCTTTTTATTATTTCAGGGGGGACAGTTATGGTTAAATAAACACAGCCATAAATTTCCCTTTCACTCCCCACGACTGAGGACTAGGAAAATGAAGATGGCTTGTTTTACTTACATTTGTTCCTGTCCCCAGGTGTTGTCCAGGAAAATTAAAAAGCAAAGTGTCCACCAAATGCCCATGGCTGGAAATGGCATTCACCCATGGGCATGACCTTCTTGTAGCTACTTTGCTTTTAAGTAAACAGAGTTTGATGATTTTGGGTAAATTAGTTCTCTGGTTAATTATTAATGTCAGAGAAAAAGATCTTCAAGTGAGAAAGCTAAAATCAGAAATGGGCACATGAGGGTGTTTTAATGAACATAAAATATGATTAACATCCTGTCATGTCCAGTAATAAAGACCGGAGTGTTTAACATCAACTTAGACCCAGGGACTTATTTATTTAATTCAAATAAAAGCAAGGGCCTGGGTGCTTGCCAATGTGGGGGAAGGCTCGTTGCGGGGAGCGAGGAGTCTCTGCCTCTGGCTGTCTTCTCTCAGCCAGGTCCTTTGCTCTGACATCCTGCTACCTTCAAACTTGATTCTGGCAAGTTCCATTTGTGTCTAAGGTTGACAGGAGACTTACTTGGATTTCATTTTAAATGGATGACTTTTGAATGAATTTGGCCAGGTCTAGAATTGAAGCACGCAGTAGGCAGACACAGGTGGATCTCTGTGAGTTCTAGGCCAGAATGATCTAGAGAGTAAGTTCCAAGACATCCAGGGCTACACGAGAAGCGCTTCCTTGAAAAACCCAATAAATAAATGGTAGAGATAGACATGGAGATAGATGGATGGGTAGATAGATAGATACATAGATAGATAGATAAAACAAGCCTGACCTATAGAAGTAGCAGATACTTGTTATAATCAATGATAACTTAGGTCTATAGAGGCTGTCCAAGGACTAGATCCCATGGTCCATGCCAGTCTAGAGAATTAGATGGAGAAAAGGTTTTAACTGCCTGGAAACCTAGCAGAGATGCGCATGTGATTCCCTGGTCAATCAGTCACATAGTCCTTAAGAGGAAATGTGTGTCTATGAATGCATTTGTCACTCTTCCAAAATTTGCATTCCATTCATCATAGAACATTTTATTTTAAATGTTCATGATTTTCAGGAAAATTTCAATAGTTTAAGACAAGAGCTCAACATGAACAGAGATGAACAGCATTTCCCATGACAGCTTATTTTCTTCTTTTTTAAATCATTTTTTGGTTTTTTGGATACAGTGTCCCTGCATGCAGCTAATGCAGTCCTGGAGCTCACTGCAGACCAGGCTGGCCTCGAACCCACAGAGATCCACCTTCTTCTGCTTCCAGAGTGCTGAGATTAGAAGCATGTGCAACTACACCTTTCTACAGCTGATTTTCATAACTCCTTTATAATTTAAAAAAAAATGACACAAAGGGTACTACCTTAATTCAACTTATTTAATATTTTATGTGAATTAGAAAATTTTATTTATATTTTCCTTTTGTTAATAATCATTTGTACATTAGTATGTGATATATATTGCATTTCAAGTTAACAGAAGAGATGTCCTGGAGATGGAGGTGTATTTTAGTTGGTAGAGGACCTGATTAACATGCTCAGGCCAAGGTTGGAGGCCCAGTCCCTCACGAATATCAGGTGCAATAGTGTACCCCTGATATCACAGCACTCAGGAGGTAGAGGAAGGAGGACCAGAAATCATAGGTCATCTTGACCCACATAGTGAATCTGAGACCAGCCTGTGCAACATGAGATGCTGTTTATAGTAATAATAATGATAATGTTTTTTGATGATGATGATGAAGAAGAAGGGATATTTAAACATAGTACTATAAGTCAGAGTTTTGGTATACCCTACTTTAATTAGTAGGGCAATGGTATACCCTACTTTAATTAGTAGGGTTTTATTTGATCAAAACTTTAATACTGAACTTGTTAAAAGAAAAGGGAGTGGAAAGAAGAATTTCATACACTATTTCACTAACAGTATTTCTTTTATACATATCATTGAAAGGGATTCTGCCCTTATTAGTCAACTATCTAGCTCATTTATTTCCAAAGAAACCTGTAAAATGATTAAGCTGGGTTGCAAAAGATGGGTCAGCAAACAGTACCTTGTGATCACTTTCAGGAAATAAACCCTAAGAGCTTGAAAGACCGCCTAGTGGACAAACATAAGAGCTATATTTCAAGTGTGAGCAATGGTGTACTAGGAAATACTAGGAAATGAAAATTCCAAACCACTCTTGTAGAGAATGTTTAAGGAATGACAGTTCTCAACAATTCATAGTCTCGACTGATTTGGAGAAATACCTCATTCCTTCCTATCTTTCTTTTTGGACAGGGTTTCTTTTTGAAGCCCTGAGCTCAGCTCAGCTCAGCTCTGCTAGAAGCCCTGAGGGTCAGCGATCATCCGGCGCCCCCAATCGATTGGCCAGTGGCAAGCCTATGGGGCATATTCTTGATGGGTGATTGATGTGGGAGGGGCCAGCACATTGTGTGCATTGTTTGGCTGGTCAGGTGGTACTGAGAGCTATGTATGCAAACAGGCTGAGCAGGCCATGAGGAGCAAGCCAGCAGCCGCACCCTCCATGGCCTCTGCCTCAGCTCCTGGTGCCAAGCTTGAATTCCTGCCCTGACTTCCCTCAGTGGTGACTGTGATGTGGACCTGTGAGCTGGAACGAGCCTCTTCCACCCCAAATTACCTTTGCCATGGAGTTTGTCACAGCAGCAGGAAGCCTGATTAGGACAACATGGTCCTCAGAGCTTCTCTCCATCTGGGTACCTGCTGGGGTCTCCTTTAACCACATCTCTTTATTGCTTAGTAAGTGTTCTATGATGTGAAGGGGCTCCTGGAACGTGGGTCTGCTAGATACACTGTGGCCAGTGGACTGAAGACAGATGCTCCAACAGTCACAGAAGAACTTAAATGACTGTCCTGCCAGTGAGATGTTCTTGTCAACTGTAGAGTTTTTATATTATCTTTCTGTGGTCTTTGATGGAGTTGAAGACAGATAGTTATGGTTATGGTTTTCCTTCTTTATGATAATAGATACGTAACATAAGGAAGTTTAGACTCACAAAGAAAGGATAGATGATAGATTATTTTCTTTAAATTTTGCCAACTGTAAATGAACAAAATATTATTAACTGTAGTTCCTATTTGATAACTGTTTTTGGTATATATTTTACTATGTTAAAGGTAAAACCCTTTATTGTATTTAGACAGACAAACGGAGTTGATAGTGGTAATGTCCTTCTATATACATGTTTCTCTTATTGGCTAGTGAATAAAACACTGTCTGACCAATGAGGCAGGAAGATAGGTGGGACTAGGATGAAGAGAATTCTGGGACAGGTTAGCAGAGAGGACAAGCCAGAAGAGAAGGCATGTTGGCCACCAAACAGTAACAGTCCATATACTCCTCCAGTAAGGTAAGACCATGTGGAAATACTAAGATTAATAGAAATGGGTTAATAGTTAAGACTGAGATAGCCAATACAGTGTCCTAGTAACATTGTCCCAACAATTTTATAACTAATGTAATGTCTCGTGTGTTCATTTGGGGATGAAGTTCAGCAGAACCAGCCTGGACAAAGAATCTCTCATTACAAGACTTTATCCTTTTTCTTTATCCTTTATCTTTATCTTTTCCTTTCTCAAGCCTTTGTATATTTTTAAACACGTTGTAAAGCCTTGAGAGATTTTTCTTTATCTGAATCTGTCTTTACTGTACGTCTCTATCTTTTCCTGACCACAGAACCTTTTATCTGCTAAACAGCATGTTTAAATTAAAGTGGATGTTTTAGCTGCTGTCTTTTTTCATGGCTAGCGGTACATTTCTTGCCAACACTGGGAGCTGTGCTCACTGCCTACAACTCTTAAACCTTTTTTGTCTGTATGCGTAAAAGCTAAATCTGCCATGCAGCATGGTGTGTGGCTTGGAGATGTGGTCACTGCTTCCACCAGCAACTCACATACACCATAATGGTTTGGTAGCAGGGCCTCTTAAAAGAGCTGTGTTGTGAGAGCCTCTGCTTGTCTCTTGCAAACAGAGTCGACCTGAGAAAATGCTGCTGCCAAGAAGATGTTCTTGACTCTGTTCTTTTGTTTAGAATCCCTTTTAAAATTTTTGTCAGGTTTTACATGTAAATTCATGCCCCACATTGGTGGTTCCATTCTGAAGTTGGGGTACTAATGAGTTCACTAGACCCAAGATAAATGACAAATAGTTGTTCTTGGTGAGGAACAGCTTACATAGAAAATAGTAAAGACCCACCACAGCATGACTGTCCCAGAAGATGCAGTCTCTGCCCTTTCGATGTTCTCTGCCACCCATGAGAGAGTGCCCACCCCACACTTCTCTACCTTGGAATCATGCCCCAACCTGAAGCCACGCCTTGAAGGGTGGGGTCACTAACACATTTCATTGACAAGGAAAGATGCTACTCCATATGTTAGTAGTTATTTACAACGTATTCAATAGGATGCCTGAGGATTCAGAAAGCAAAGTCAGCCACAAGCCATAGAAGGCAGGTACACACCTTTAACCCCAGCTGCCGGAAGGTAGATGTGGTGGCACACACCTTTAAGCCCAGGATGCAGGATTAAGGGGTATGTAGTGATATATTTGCTTCTGTACCTGTAGCACTGACCACCCCATTTGGGCATGGTCACTTGTATTGACTTGACACATGTCGCGTCTGCCGAGCAGCCTGTGTCCGAGAACTTGCGGAGGGTGTTGGGGATTGACAACACAGAAACTTGTTCAACGATGTAAAGAAAACTTTAAGCAGGCCCCAAAAAGGTTCAAGAAAACTTCCTAAGAAAGGCTCCCACCAGAGAAGCTTCTGCTCTCTCCTCTACCCTGGCTGGTTCTGCTCGGACACCAGAGGTGGATGTGGGTGGGTTTGAAGGTGTGGTTAGTCTTTGGCCAAGGTCAGGGCAGTTTCCATGGGCAGGCCTTTTCCAGGAACTTATTGCCCCGGGCATTGTATTGTTTTTAGTAAACTTGTTTTTAGTAAACATTGTCTTACAGCTGCCTACTCCCAGGCCAAAGGGGAAGTGGGTCTCTGCTCAAGGTCTGGTGTCCCCACAGACAAGTTAAAAGGGAAATGATCAGGGATGGAAGACCCCTTCGGGTTGCAGACTGCATCCGGGTGGCAGGGTCTACATCCATGAGCAGGAGTACCCAGCAGTCACTTGTTTCCTGTGTACGTTCTTTTTCCCAAATAAACTCTACTTCATTTATACTCAGTCTAGTGAGTCCTGATTTCCATGCCCACAGAGGTAGATGGATCTCTGTGAGACCAAGTCGACCCACAACTACACAAGATTTATTCAGTTTTATGAGGAAACAGCTCACACAACGGTGATCTCAGCACCTGGGATCACACACCTTCACTCCTAGCATTAGGGAGGTACATAAGACAAGAAGTACCATACACTGATTCTCCAGCAACCCTCAAGATGAGGCGTTCATTCTACAGCTACATTGAGAATAGGAATGCGATGTCGTTAGAAGTAAAAGCTCTCTGGTAGCCTGGCTGCTGTGCTTCCCTGATCTTCAGGTTGAACCCTAATATCTGTCTCTGGGTCTTTTATTTTTCATGTTACAGTCATGTTGGCCTGGAAATGTCGATGAACCCCAGGCAGGTTTTGAGATTGTGATCCCTCTGCCTCAGTCTATTGAGACGTTAGGATTACATTTGTGTAACTGCTATGGCCAGCACCATAGACTATTTTTTAAATTTTATTTTATGTGTGTGAGTATTTTTCCTACAAATTCTAGTGTTTGGTTCCAAGCTGGTGCAACAACTGTTTGGGAAGGAGAAGGAGGTGTGGCCTTGTTGATCCAGGTGTGTCAGTGTGGATTGGCCTTGAGGGGTCAAAAGCCCATGACATCCCCAGGTAGCTGTGTCCCTTTCTCTCTGGCTTGTGCTTGAGGATCAGACAGAGCTCTGCTACTGCTCCAGCTCCATGCCCGCCTTCTTGCTGTCACCTTCCTCACCATACTGGCCTGGGACTCTAATCCTCTGGAATCATGATCCACCCGGGACTCTAATCCTCTGGAATCATGATCCACCCGGGACTCTAATCCTCTGAAATCATGATCCCCCAAATTAACTGTATTCTTTCATGATTTCTTGGTCACAGTGCTTTGTCATGGCGACAGAAAAATAACTAAGAACTGGTCTCAATATGTTTAGAAAACAGACCTTTACTTTGTTTTTCTGACACTGGCTTATGTCACTTAACATGTTAATCTTGTTTCATCCATTTTTCTGAAAATGTTGTCTTGTTATCTTTTGAAAAGAAATGTTTTTAAGTGTGCCTGTGTATGTGTATGTGTGTGTGTGTGTGTGTGTGTGTGTGTGTGTGTGTAGCTATGTGCACATGTGAGTGATGGTGTCCTCAGAACCCAGACAGGCACAGATCCCCTGGAGCTGGAGTTGCACATGATTGCGAGCTTCTATGCAGGTGCTGGGAACCAAACGTGGATCCTCTGCAAAGGCAGAGTATACTCTTAACCACTGAGCATCCTATCCGCTCCAATTCTATTTTTCTTCATGGCTGATTAGAACTCCATCATGTCCCTACACTACATTGTCTTTACCCTTAGGCATTTGGGCTGATTGCTTAAATCAACTGTTGCTATTCTGATGTAATAAGCATGGATTTGCAGATATCTCTCTCATATATTGACTTTTATGTTCACACGCAGGATTTGAATGGGGGCATATGGCAGTTCTAGTTTCAGTTTTTGAGAAATCTTGATACCGATTCCCTTTCCCTCACACTCTCCCCGGAATTTCTCTTGATGGCCACTCTGACTGGTGAAGTAATCTCTATGCAGATTTGATTTCCATTTCCCTGAAGGCTAATGTAGTTATTTACTCTGAAGGAAAACACTCTGGAGAAGAGTGGGAGGTTCATAAGACTTAAGGCTGAAGGAAACTCAGGAGTTCATGAAGCTCATGAAGCTAGGCTCAGAAGGCACAGGGTGTTACCAGATTTCCAGGACTCTCCCTGAGTTTCCTTAAGCTTATAAAATTGCTAGAGGAGAAGAGATGCTTAGGGGGACTGCCTGGAAATTTGTCAGGAAATTGCAGGGTTGCAGCTTTCTCCATTCTTTACCCACATTAGGGTGGGTCTTTTGGAAATTCAGGTGCCCCAAGTCACCGTATGCTGCTGTAACCCCAATGAACTCTAAGGGTCACCTGGCTGGACTTGTGTAGAATTGTTTCTTTCATCTCCCATAAATATTCTATCTGGATAGATTTTGTTTGTGACTCTTCAAGAAGTCACACAGCAGTCATGAGCATGCTTTCAAGTATTTCTGCTTAAAACTGCATCCAACTCATTTACTCCTTTATTGTTTGGATTGTTTATTTGGCATTCAGTTTCTTTACACATTCTGACTAATAATTCCCAGTGAGATTAATGGGAGATAAATATATTTCCTCCCTTCTGTATGCTATCTCTTCAATCTGCGCTTTAGGTACTTGTGCAATGTTTTTGGGGTGCATGTATGTGTGTGTGATGTTGGGTACTTTCTATTGTGTTCTCCCCTGTTGCCTTGAGGTAGAGTCTCGCACTGAACTGGAACCTTCCATTTCTATAAGGCTGACTGGACAGTGGGATCCACCACACCTCCTAATGCTGGGATCATAGGGATATATAACATGCCTGGTTGACTTTGTGTTTCTGTTACTGTGAAGAGACACCATGACCACAATGACTCTTACAACGGAAGACATTTAATTGGGGCTGTCTTACAGGTCACAGGTTTAGCCCATTATCCTCATGTGGGAAACAAGGTGGGAAGCAGGTGGGCATGGTTCTGGAGAGGTTGCTGAGAATTCTCCATCTGGATAAGCAGGCAGCAGGAAGAGAGAGTCACATTGAACCTGGCTGGAGCATCTGAAACCTCAAACGTCACTCCCAGTGACAAACTTCCTACAAGAAGACCACACCTGTTCAAATAAGGCTACAATCCCCATAGTGTCCCTCCCTGTGGGCCTTTGGGGGATATTTACATTGAAATCACCACACTGGCTTTAACACTAGCAAGAACAAGACACACACACACACACACACACACACACACACACAAAACATGAACCAACAAAACCCATCCTCTTGCTAAGGACTACACGTAGATCCTCAGGCTTACAGAGCAGGTGCTTGTGCCCATCAAGTGGTCTCCCCAGCCTGATGTGCAGTGTTTTCATGTCTTGCAGGTCCATTTTGAACTCTTGCTCTAATTTTCTATTCAGAAACTCCTTGTCTATATCTAGAGCTTAAATTTTCCCCCTATGTGTTTCACTGGTGTTTCCAGTTTTCAGGTCTGAATTGATTTCTCTACAAGGTGAAAGACAGGGATCTCTTTTCATTCTTCCACGTGGGCACATACCTTTTGTTAATGAGGCTGTCTTCTCCAACATATACTTTAGAGCTTTTGCTTGGATCAGACTCTGCAGTCATGCCCTCATTCCTGTGTCCTCTATTCCATTGTTTCTATATGTGTTTTGTGCTGGGATCACGCTATGTTGTTGGTTGTCTCTGTATGTGTTGCTGTAGCTCTGTAGTACATCTAAAAACAAAGCCTTAAGATCTATGCACCACAGATATAAGCTCCATGCAGTGGGGAAAATTTGTCTATTTCACTGCTATGACCCCATTGCTTCCTGCCACACTTTGACGGCTGTCAGTGCACAATGCATATGTTACCGAACATGACTGACTTTAACTTTGAGGCAAAGGTTGAGGATAGAGGGACATTGAGTGTCCTAGAGAAGGGAAGAGGGTGAGGTTGTATAGAAAAGCACCTGGCTTTGAAGGAGAATTCTCTCTCTTAAAGGGGAGTGGATAGGAGGGAAAGGCAGACAACACTGTGTGAATTAGTGTTGGATAATGTGAGCTTCTTCGTATGAAGTGTTTCCTTCCACTGAGGGTCACCAAGAGAGAGTGCTTCTAGGAGACTTACTACATGTTGTCACCCAGAGTCACCAGGGACCGTCTAGGACAACAGGAAGGTTTTCTGACTGCTCATAGCAGCCCCTGATAAGCATATTGGTGCTGTGTGCTTTATGCCATGGAATATGAGATGTAAAGTATGCACTCATTTGTTTCCAAGCAGTACATAGAGAGTTTGAAAAATATTAAAGTTATGGTATTTTACTTCTGCTCTAATCAAAATACAAGATGGAGAAAGTGCAGAAAGTATTACTATCATGTGAATTTAGCCTGCTATGCAAAAAAATAAGTTAATGCCTCTGAGGATTGTTTGGTAGCGTCTTCCTTGTTGGAAAAGCACACTAATGCTCTCTAGGGTTCTGACTGACTCATTTAGAACTGCACATATTTGGTGCATATGCACTGACAGACAAAGCTGCACTGGTGATTTTGAGTCATTTATGTGTGTGTGGAATAATACCTCCCATCACAAGGAAGCAAAACAATCTTGAGCATCAAAATTTATCTTCACTCTATTGCAGTTGGAAGACTCCCGAGATGTCATTTACAGTGCCTGGCTTCATTCCACCAGGAGTTCTGTTACTAAAGAGATTCAACTCAACTGATTTCCTTTACTTTCAGGTCCTTTTCTTGCTGCTACAAAAATTCTCAAAATGTGGTTGAAATTCTTTTTGTTTTCCTTTTGGTATTTTGAGACAGGGTTTCTCTGTGTAGCTTTGTTGACCAGCTGGCCTAGAACACACAGAGATTCTCCTGCCTCTGCCTTCCTAGTGTTGGAATTAAAGGAGTGTGCCACCACTGTCCAGCTTGGTTCAAATTCTTGATGATCATTCTGTGAGAAACAAATACATCAAGAGTGACAATGGGCAACATGACATGTAGAAAACATGTTATAATCAAAATGGTGGAAGAATTAAATCTTGAAGTTCTTTATTATTGCAAGAGATTAAACCAGGGGCTTTTAGCTGAGTTCTTAGGACTAACGGGCACTCCATCCCACCAAACCTTGAAAATTCTGATGTCTACACACTCCAGTCTATATTTATGAAATAATTACAGTCAACAAAATAAAGCAACTAACAACAGAATTCCCTAAAATGCAAAAATTAAATGAAAAACAAACAAGCAAAAAGTGAATCTGTCTTAAAATAAAAGTTACATGCAAAGAATTGATCCTGGCCTCAATAATTTCAGAGAAAATAAAAACCAAAATGGGCTAGAATAGAAATAAATTGCCTGGTATGGAAAACTGTCCAAGGGATATAAATGGACAGGTGAGATGTAAGCACCATGGGAAAAACTTCATCATTGAAAATCTCTCCACCTGGGTAATAGTAGTTTATTGATTTAAATATTCTAATTATGATTATCATTTTAGAGGCCTCAGGCTCTGCTGGCACAACTGGTCATCAGTGTTGATTCCACTTAGAGGTTCAGACATCTGAGCACCTGGGCAGCACGGTGGCACTCAGCAGTGTGTGCTTCGGGTCTTCAGCTCTCCCTGGGCAGCATGCCAGCATTCTTTGTGGCAGCAACAGTGCCGTGAGCACCCTCTTCTCATTACACATTCAATACAGTGAGATACTCTCTTCATTTCCTAAGTAAAATATTCATGAATTTGTATTAAAATTGAACAAATCATACTAGCCATAGAATAGAAGTCTATGGGCATCAACGTGCCTTTAATGACCCTAAATAATCCCTAATTTCTTTTCAGTGCCCTCCTAAAGGTAGAGAAAATAGTATCTGGGAGACCCTCAGTGGGTAAAGTGCTTGCTGTACAAGCATAGGGACCTGTGTTTGGATTTCTAATGCCTATGCAAATGTGGGCACAGCTGTGCACATCTGCATTCCCAGCACTGGAGGGGCAGGGACACAAGGGTCCTTGGAGGTCACTGTCCAGATGGCCTAGACAATCAGGGAGCTCCAGGTTCAGTGACAAACCCTGTCTCAAAAATGCAAAGTGGGGAATATTTCAGGAAGACACCTAGATCTTTGTCCACTATTATGGCTGCACCTTTATATGTGTATTGCACACACCTACGCCAACACATCATATACATATACATACATGCATGCATACCTGTACATACAACACAATAAAATAAAATTAGAAAAACTATTTCCCCTATAAGGTTATTATAGGGCTCAGATGAAAAGTGTGAAGCCAATAAGAATAAATAATATTAATTAATACTGTATTCTTAATGATGCTTACAGCTTTTAATTTAAGAAATCCCGCCGAGCAGTGGTGGCCCAAGCCTTTAATCCCAGCATTCAGAGTCAGAGGCAGGCAGATCTCTGTGAGTTCGAGGCCAGACTGGACTGACAACCTCCAAAACAATACAGAGAAAACCTGTCTCGTAAAAACCAAAAAAATTTTTTTCCTTTATCCTGCAACATCTAGTAATGCTACCGCCCAAATAGGACTTCCACTTTTGGTGACTGTAATATGACAGAATCGTCACATTTTCTCATCTGAGTGCTGACAGGACACACTTAATCTCAGGTACTTGTGTGAGGCTTGGGGTGAACTCTCCTTGGAGTCTGCAGCAGCAGCCGAGCTTGGCTCTGGGCTCCTGTTCTCTGCTGTGTACTGCAGGGGGAGGGGGGTCCCAGCTCCCAAAAGCACACGGGCTTTTCCTCTGGGCATTACAGTTATCTGCCTTTCAACTACTAACTGTAACTGGGACCTGAAAACTGCTCCTCTTATAGAGCTTTACTGAGAGAAAGTTTCACAGATCTGGCAAGGTTCTGATAGAAAATGCCATACTTACTGGGGGGAATTGACAAGGGGGTTTGTTTAAAGGTGTGTTCATCTCTGATCTTCTTTGCCAGGGTACAGCAAGTAGTGAAGGCTCTGACACAGCGGGGGCCTATTTTCACACGTTCAGCTCGTTGATTACACGTTTCATATGTATTAAGTAAAGCTCCGTCATAACAGCACTTCTTTAGCATTGGATGTTTGTATGTAGAAACTGAAAGGATGTAATGACAAGTCCTTATCACCAAACAGCCCAACACCTGGTAGGGATGGATCTCAAGGACTATTTTCTCTGCCATCAAAGGACTCCCTCACCAGATACATATTGGGGAAAACAAATATTTTACATAGATTAGGCATGAAAATAAAAAGAACTGCTTTCCTCAGGTTAAGGATGTGGCCGATAAAATCCTGAGTTTACAGACTGAACATTTCTGAGTGATGAACTCAACCCCACATGCATCATTCCCCCACCTGCTGCATGTTAATTAGGGGAAGCCCGTGCCTTATGCTCTCTGGTCTGTGAATGCTACAGGTATCACAGTTTACAGCTTGTGGAGTACCTTGTTCCTGTATTTTCTCTTTCAGGTAATGTTCTGGCTGGAGACTCACATCTTGGGCTTCACCTGTGAGGGAGAGAATGGCATGGGGGAGAGTGTTCAGTATCACATGGTTGTCATATTACGTAAAAGCAGGTCTTGTTCCTTGGATGTCACCCATAATGCACTGGTCAACTTAAGAGTTAATCCTGTGTTTACATAGCTGCATAAATCAACACTAAAGGTTTATTTTTCCTAACATCATAAAGGTAGAAAGATCCTCCCTATGCCAGGCTCCCCGGGGGGACTGCACCCCTTCTATTATGAGCATGAACCTACAGAGTCTGGCTAGCTTTCTGGGGACTTACAGGGAAATTACCCCAGGCTCCTGAACAGCCCCCCGAAGCATTCCAATACCTGGAATTCCAATTTGGTGCTGCAGATCACGTATTGGCATGAGAGTTATTTTGTAAGCTTTATCTGTGAGAGAGAGAAGGGTGTGGGAAAGGTATAAAATCTTTCTAAAACAGCTCCCTGACAGCATTCTGTTCTACATCGTTGTGGCCTCCTACAACCTCTAACAAGCACTGACTCCCCAGCCTTAACCCAACCAGGACTTCCCATCACCCTGGCCCGGAGCCTCGTCCCCACCTGGGAAGGGTTTGCATCAGCTCCATTACTGAAAAGAATTACCAGGGAAAACTAACTTTTGATAAACCAATCTATATGGAAGATTACCGTGTTCTTTGACGTCAAAGTGTGTGGTTCCATTGATTGAATCATCCTCTCTGTATTTAGCTTTAATTGTCCATCTACCGTATCTATGGACACCAGATGTTTGAAATCAGAGATATACCAAAGTGTGCAAATTTATCAAGAGGAAATCCAGTCATTTCTAGTTTCAGAGGTTAGAATATAAGTATATGAGGATACATACACACATACACACACACATGCACACACCCTAAGTAAAAGTTCAGAGGAAAGATTTTTAAACAATAATCAGACAACTGAGCATCTCAAAAGGAAAAGAAATTGTTTAACAATTAGTTTTTCATGTTGTATACTTTCCCTACGTCCTTTATCTTAATGTGCTAATTTTGTATGGAGAACTGATAACCATTTCAACATTTACTTAATCCCAGAATTCAGAAGCTAAAATCACAATATAGTAAAAAACTGATAATAATGTCTCTGGATGGCATGCCAATGATGAAATTCATACGTCATATGAGCAGAATTGTATTGGAAAGAAAGCACTGCTTGTTTAAAGAGTAAAATAATCTGTTCAACAACCTTCATTCAAAAATAGTTAGTGAGGCTGGACAGTGGTGGCAGCTGCCTTTACTCCCAGCACTCAGGTGGTAGAGGCAGGTGGATCTCTGAGTTCAAGGCCAGCCTATCTACAGAGTGATGACGAGCCAGGAAAACACAGAGAAACCATGTCTTGAAAAACCAAAAGCAAACAAGCAAAACAAAATTCAGTGAGTACTACACTGGGATAAAAATATCTGGAGCAAGACAGAAGACCCACTAGACTTTAGAGCCTCCAGACCACGCCAGTTCAGATGTTCACACATTCTTCCTAGCAGGTTTGATTAGGCAACTGACTACATACATCTCCTTTGGGAAATGAGAAAAATGTCTACCATGCAGATAAGGGATGTGATCAATGGAGGTGAATGTCATGGTTACCATGACTACTATCAGCAGTTCACCAGGTATTTTACCCAAGTGCCTACGATGCTGAATTGCTGAGCTAAAATGAACCGTGTAGACAAGGGCTTTGCCCTTAAGGGGTTTAGAGTCTAACACTGGGTGGGACACATAAATAAATAATGAATAAGGCACAGACTAAAAAGAAAATACATGAGACAAGTGTGTAGAGATAGAGAATAAAGCAGACATTGCATTGTATTCATGGATGGTATTGTGATAAGAATGGTGTTCCCGTGTCCAAGCAAGAGGACCATAGAGGAATGTTCTGTGCAAAGAGGACAACAGACACCAAGCTGCTAAGGCTGGAGATGGATTCCTATAATGTGCCATGGGACATTGACACGAGGAGAAGTCTGGGAAATAAGAATCATAATAACATAACAAACTCAGTTCTGCACCAGAAAGCCTAAGGCACTCTAAGAAATTGTATAATTTAAATCTTCCAGAATATCACAACCTTCCAAATTTGGCTATGTTTTCAGGAACAATGTTTCCAAAACGAACTAAATACAAACTCCCCAGAGAGGACAGAGGAACAATGGCTGGGAAGTGGTTCTACTGAAAATCTGTGTGGTGGCTGCCTTGCCTTAGGCATCCTGCTTTATGTCCCTTGACACAGGGATTGTGAGCGTTTCATTTCTGTTTGGCAGCTTGCTCTCTTATTGTGATTTACACACATTGAATATGTATTTCATCAACTTCGAATGCACCTGGTCTTAAATCTTGGCATATGAGGCCAAGTAGAATAAAATTTCCTACACATCTGCACAGACAGACAGACACATACACACACACACACACACACACACGCACACATGCACGCACGTTTTCATTAAACCCAAGTCTCTGCACCTGCAAGCCATAAGCATACTTCCAATACACTATAATCCAAACCAACACTGCCCATAAATTGACACTCGGTTTGACTTAAAAGGAAAAGGACTACTTAAAGATTTGTTTCTCTTCTAAATTTATTACTCTATGTATAAACAGAATGGATAGGAAAATTTGGAACTTTCTCTCTCTCTTTCAATCCGTGTGTGTTGTGTGTGTGTGTGTGTGTGTGTGTGTGTGTGTGTGTGTTGGTTGAATGTGTGTGTATTCATTTATTGAAACAGACTTTGCCATCTGCCATAGCTAACTGCTAATGCCTAGATTTAAGTAAGCCTCTTTCTTCAGTGTCTTGGAGATCTGAGCCTCCTGATGTGATGGGAAGTGTCTGGTATCTGGGATCCACTCTGCTCTGCTGAGAAGTGGGTGTGCCTTCTGCATCCTTTGGAAGGCTTCACATGGCCACCTGTGTGCTGCCTGGGTCAGCAGGGGTGGCTCCACTTACCACTTCTCTACCTCACAACCAAAGTCCTGGGTGTGTTTCTCAGAAAACAGTTTCTATTACATACTTCGGGTTAGAAGGAATCTTGAAGTCGGGAAAAGAGACAATTCCAGTATGATTGTTTCCTTGTAGTGTGCCAACTTCTGATCCTTCAGGGTCCTGTAGGGAAGGAAGAAAACCCACCTGTCTTAGTTTGTTTTCTGTTGTATAAAAGAATAACTGGGACCAGGTGATTGTCTAAAGACCAGAGATGTGTTTTGTCCCACAGTGCTAGAGTCTGGAGTTATAAGGAGATGACACTGTATGCACAGGGGAGCGGCCTCGTATCCACTCTGAATGGGAAAGCAGATGGGCAAGCAAGCACTTATGAAGAGTTTGTTCTCGTGACAAGACATTCTGAGAAAGGGGCAGCCCTGCTCAGTCCATACAGCTGTGAGGGGAGTACCCTGGGACTGAGGAAATACTTACTACGAAAGTTAAGACAGCTTCCTTTGTAACTGCCTCTAATTCATCATGCAGGGAATAGATGCCAACCTTTACTGCAAGAAAAGGTGATATCGTCAAAAACTTTGGTAAACAAGGGCGATTCTAATTTTTGAGACAAACTACTTCAGGGTGAAAATCATATAAAATATATTGGGAGACATTCTCAAAGATTAATAAAATAAAATAGTTTAAAAACCTCTTCAATGAGATAAATCTTATTAAAAACTGTAAGTACCCTTATAGGAAAATATGTATTTAAAAGAAAGTTGTTGGTAAACATTTGTATTAATAAAGATTCCTTCACTTTAAAGCAATTCCTCAAGACTTACTACTAGTGAGCAAGACAGTTCACTTTATGAAAATGCTTACATACAACTTGCTGGGAACATGCATATAGTATAAAATTAATTATATCTGTCACTGGGCAACCATTATTGGGAATTTCATACTATCAAAAGGGTGAGTTCTACTGTAGACTATATGAAAACATACAAGGCTGCTTTACATTAGGACTGAATTGTTAAATGGCAAGATGGTGTTTGTGAAGATAAGGCACTGTGATCATGTGATTTTTGTTACATTTGCTGCCCCAGGTCCTGTGGGTGCTCTCTCCTCATTAAGAGAATAGTAGCTGCATCCCAGAACGGCTGGTATTTCAACATTCCAGGCAAACACTCTTTCACAAAGGCGTATCACTCTATTTTCTTTCTAAGAAGTACAAGTTAGCCTGTGAGTCACAGACCTTGCTCATCAGCCTCCCAGGTGCTGGGATTATAGACTTGTAAAACCAAACCCTACAAGGTCCTCTATTTTTACATTTTGTATGTGTCTCAAGCTGATTTATTTTCATTTTCTTATTCATTTTTATTTATTTTAAAATAGACACACAGATCCAGGTGGTGAGGTGGCACACACTTTAATCCAAACACTCGGGAGGTACAGGCAGAAGGATCTCTATAAGTTGGAGGCCAGCCTAGTCTACAAAGCAGGTTCAAAGACAATCAGAGGCATATAAATCCTGTCTCACAAAACAGGTTCAAAGAAGAAAAATTAGGTGAACATTTGATGTGTTTTCATCCTGCATGTAGATTTTCATCTGTCAAGTGTAAATTTGATCCCTTAAAACATCTTCCTTATCTTTGCTTATTGTGCTCAGTATTTTTTAACTTAAAAGTTTTTATTTTTTAGAATTACAATCAGGAATACTATTATTGCATCCCTAATATTGCTATACTTACACACACACATACACACACACATATACACACACACACACTCATCTAATATTACTCTTATGCTCATGTGTTTAGGGCTGACTACTCAGGATTTCATCAGCTGTGGGAACTCATTCCTGAATAAACCCAACTCACCCTCTCTGCAGCCGCTGACTGCCTATCACTCTTCATCTAGGTGAGGTCTCCAAAATTTGCCCCATCTATGCTGGTATCTCAACTATAAAGATTCACAACCATTCAAAACACAGAGAATACATGACCATGGGCTGACCACCACTGAACTGTAAAGCTAAAACAAACCTCATACCTAAGATCAGCTGCAACTCTGATATTCCAAACTGTGGTCTTGTCTGACTCTTCTTCCTTGTTCTGAGATAGCTGTACTTTTGAACATCATTCCTAATTTGGGAGAATTAGTGTGGCCTCCCAATAACACAGATACAAAGAGGACAGTCTCCAGATGACTCAGCACAAAAGAAGCAACAAATGTTTAAGCTATCATTATGATTTCAGTGGCTTTTTTCAGTTTTAAAACTTGTTTTTAATCATCTTAGAATATTAATCTTAGTGTATCAGAGGCAAGATCAATAAAATATGTATATTGAAGTCAAGACTATATTGAAATGTCTTCATTGTGGTAGACAACAAAGTAAGAGTGGTGAAATAATCACACACCGAAGCCTTGCAGTGTTCTGTAGGAGAGAAAGAATACACTTAAGTAAGTTCCCAGGAGCATGCGTGCTGTAAGGACACTCCCTTGGCTTTGAGAGGACAAGAGAGGTCTGAGGTCCTATCTCAGTGATGCAGCCCTTGCCTGGGATGCAGGAAGACCCTGGAGTTCTATGCCTGGCCCTGACGAAAGGAGAGGAGACAGAAAGACTGTGTGGAAATGTGAGAGGGTGGCAGTGCAAGCCGTGACTACAGGGTCTGTAGGGATCCCTGAGTACAGGGGGACCAGCAGGAGGTCCTGAGGCAAAGGAAAGGAGAGAAATGCACTGTGCAGAGGAAACAGCACGTGGTGCCCACCTCCATATGGATGAGAGTGGTGGGAAGAGACCTGGACTGAGGTCAGGATGACTGCAGTCCATGGTCGGCTGTGGGGTACAGTAGGAAAGGGAGCTGGGGAGAGGGCGGGACACGGGCTACACAGACTGAAAGACTCTGGACAACATTCTAAGGTCCTTCATCCTAGAGAGTCTGGGAGACTTGAGCTTTTAGTCAAAGATGCTTAAGCTATAATCCTTCAAGTATCTTCGCATTAAATACACCAATAGGATAAAGGACTTTTAGAATAACTTCACAAACAGAGATTACCATCTCCTGTACCAAGTCATCTTGTTGGAGTCAGATCAGCATTTGTGGCAATGAATCTGTCTAAGCTGGTGGCAACATCCTCACCCTGCCTAGGTCTTTCTTTCTAAGACAGTGTAACAGGTGATCCTGCCAAATGGGATGATGACCACACCGTCCTGTTCCACCTCACTGTGGACATCACCAGTGTCCACCAAAAGTAGAAGGTCTCTACTGTACACAAGGTGAAAACAGAACAAAGCATGCCAATTCTGCTTCTTCTTTGAGTCCTTCCCTCCGAGTATGATGAAAACCACCAATGATTCTTCTCAGTCTCCTCCCAACACATGACTTCTTGGACAGATGTCTCTAATTGTCAGGAGATGGCAAGTGGCAGGTGAGAAGACAGAGGTTTCACAAGCAATGCGGACATGATTTCTGTGTCTGATTGTCGTTTCTTTGGGGGAATATAGGGTTTCCTCCACCACAGTGTCTTTCCTCTTATTAACCTCAAAAGTAAAACTGTAGATGCTAAACGCTGCTTAACAGACAAGTTCTTATGTGGCTAACCTTGGCCATCAGCGTCTAGGCATCTCTGTGAGCAACAGTAATATCTGCCAGATGTCTAATTCTCTTCATTTGGATTCATTTTTCCAACATTGGGACAAGATACTGAATCCAAGAATGTTTTACAACAAGGTTTAAGATATCATTCCTCAAGGCCGAAATGGTATTTGCAGTTATGTCTTCTGTATTTTTTATGAATAAATTCTCTACCTAGGCAGATGATATGATCATTGGTTATGTTATTATTTAGCAATTCCTTTATAAAATAAAGTGAAAATGCTATTTGAGCATATAAATGTCGTTAGGATTCGAGTTTCTCTTGAGTAAAGTGAAAACCTGTCTCCACTCAATTTCAGATGTTACAACTTCCACATAATTTTGTCATTCTTCCCTGAAAGGGGCATCAGATACTCTACCGGGCTGCTGTGGCAGTGTAGACAGGCTTGTCAGTATGGATGAAGAGAGAGCCATTGTCATGGATGACTGGCATTTTTTCTGATTTTGAAAAATGCTTCGACACAATTTCCAAATACACATATGAATATGAGCTTGGTCCTTCAGCCAACTGTTTGGCCTGAACCTATAAAACAACAAACAAACACCACGATCAGAAAGTGTGACTGTAGAGTCCTAAAGCATGCTGATACTGAAAGAAAAAAACTACCACTGTAATCTCATAAGACTAAAACTGAGCTTGTGCATTGCATCATTTTCAAAGAGGTGCACTGGGCTGGAGAGAAGGCTCAGTAGTTAAGAGCACTGGTAGATCTCCTAGTAGACAAAGGTTGAGTTCCCATCACCCACATGGCAGCTGAAACCACCTCTGACTCCAGTTCCAGGGATCCTAGGCCCTCTTCTGTCCTCTGTGGTTATTGCACACAATGGAACCCAAACATACATGCAGGCAAAAATACACATACACATGGACTTTAAAAGATAATAATAGGCCAGTTGTAGTGGTGCATACTCTGAATCCAAGCATTTGGGGGGCTGAGGAAGGCCGGTCTCTGTGAGTTCAAGATCTACCGAGCTAGTTCCAGGACAGCCAAAGCTATTAGACTATCTGGTATGCCTAACCACCTTATTGGAGTCAGATCAACCGTTCTGGTGATGACTCTCTGTCTAAGAATGTGGCAACATCTCACCCTCTCTAGGTTGTTCCTTTTCCCAGCCTTGTCTTGAAAACAACAATTAATGGTAATCATAATAATTAATACTACTATAGTACAGCACTACAGAAGTTGAGGCAGGCAGATCTTGTGTTCCAAGTCTATCTAGGACTACACGCTGAAAATTTGTCTCATAAACATAATCAGCCAGACAAAGTTACTAAAACCACTACAGGAAAAAAAATAATTTAGGTTGCCAAATACCCTTCATAGTCTGTGTCATAATAAAATTTTAGCACTAAGCATTCAGAAATCTTTTTGGTGCCATTTCAGATATATTTAACAGAACTCTTATATGAGTGTTAACTGTTATAGAAACTTGTAAGAAACCTTCGATTTATCAGATTCTGGATGGATTGGTTTCTGTGTTCTCTGTGCACAGTGTCCTGTCAATGGCCTGGACACTTCTCATCACATCACAGCCTCTGTGCACACATCATAGATGCCCATTCAAGTTTGCCTATGCCATTGCCATCATCACCTTTATATCCAGTGATATGGGGATTGCATATATTAACACAGATCATCAAAGGAAAGCATATTTCCATGAAAATCTAGGGTTCAGAAACACAGGGGTAAACTTAATCACTAAAATCAACTGCATTGAGGTTATTACAAAAGTTTGAAAGCAGTAAAAAACAAACTATCGATTTTCTGTGCTGAGATGAGCTATAGATGTCTTTGAGTTGTTTATCTACCTAAAACAATACTATAGCTTCTACCATGCCTTCTAGCTTGATATTTTGTGGTACGGCTGTGGGTGTGGGGGTGTCTCTGACTCTTTCACAGGCTCTTGGGACCCTTTTCCTCCTACTGGTTTGCCTTGCACAACATTAAAATGGGGGTTCAGGCCAAGTGTTATCCCATCTCGCTATGCCATGCCCAGTGGATATCCTGGGAGGAACTGCCCTTTCCTGAAGAGAAATGGAGCAGGAGTGGATCTGGAGAAAAGGCAAGGTGGCTATGGTGGTGGAGAAACAGGAGGAATGGAGAGAGGGGAAACTGCAGTCAGGATTATTGAAAACAAAAACAGTATTCATTAATTGTGGATAATTCAATTGAAAAAGTGGACTCAAGGACAAGACTGATACAACATGTTTAATTAGCAAATTTACTTTGTAGTGTTAAAATAAAATTAAGTACATGTGTATCAATGTTTAGAATTCTTCCATGGTCCTCAGACTCCTGAGATGACCAACGAACGTAGCTCAGTGAGATTTCCTGTGGGGACTGATAAGTCTTGTAACTATGCAGTCCTAACACATGACTAGTGCCCGTGAGGAACTCAAGTATTACACCAGTTGCAGTTAGTTGATTGAATTTAAAGACAAATATGGCTAGTGGCTACCATGCCTCATATAGAGTAGCCAGAGAAAGTAAGAGTTTGGAGAAATGAATTTAAATTTTCATAAACCAAGTACTTGGGATGTATTTTTTACAGAGATTAGAATATTTATTCTCAAGATCATCATTGAAATAATTTGTGTTTTTTAGAATTGATTCTAAGTAATGTTTTTCAGTTGAAACCATCTACAACTCCAGCCCCAGGGATCTGAAACTTCTGATCTCCCTGGGTACCCACAGTCATGTCACAGCCATTCAATCCCAAAAGCACATTCATATAATTGAAATTGAAATTGTTCGGGTTTTTTTGTTTGTTTGTTTTTTGGTTTTTACGAGACAGGGTTTCTCTGTATTATTTTGGAGGCTATCGGTCCAGCCTGGCCTCTAACTCACAGAGATCCGCCTGCCTCTGCCTCCCAAGTGCTGGAATTAAAGGCGTGCGCCGCCACCACCCGGCCGAAATTGTTCTTAAAGATGAAACAAGATGCATAAGCTCTTAGACAAGTTAGCTGTGGTAGCTAGATGATGATGACGATGAAGGTGATGATGATTATTGATAGATATATAGACAGCGAGATTATGTAAAGATGTATGATAGATGGTAAATAGATGATGGAAAGATGACATACAGATGGAAAGAGAGATGACAGATGATACATAGATTAGATAGATAGATGATAAATAGATAGATAGAAGATAGATAGATAGATAGATAGATAGATAGATAGATAGATAGATAGATAGATGGTATAGATACATTTAGATTGATGACAAAATAAAGCTAGAGATAAAAAGAGAGACATTACCACAGAGTTCAACAAAGCTCAGCAACTTGTTAGAATAAGTTTTGAAAACTATATTCCAATACATTTGAAAATAAGACACAGGTAAATTTCTTGAAACATATGACCTATCAAAATTAAATTAAGAAAATGTGCACAGCTTAAACCAATCTATAATAAGCCAATGGGATTCAAATGGTAGTAAACTTCTAAAAATGCCTAACCACAGTTTTAGTCACAGCAGACCCTGTGCTGACCACATTACTTCATAAAATAAAAAAGAATACATCCTTTCTAGTTTGTTTGATTTTTAATATGAGACCAGAAAATCTTGAATCTGTTAGAGGAAAGCATCGGAAGACACTTCAAGAGGCAAACACAGACAAGGACTCTCTCTGGACAGTACTCCAACAGTTCAGGAGACAATGATACCCAGAGCCAGCAAACATGACTGAAAGAAATACTTAATGTTTTCTGTACAAGGAAGGAAACAAGTGAAAACGTGGCACCAATAACAGGAGAATTTTTCCTATACATTTGATGGAGAATTATTATCTAGAATAAAGGACTTTTAAAACTAAGGACTAAAACAAAATGAAACAAAACTCCAAACAACACAAGCAATAAATTGGGTAGTGAAACGATCCCACAGTTCATAAGCAACAAAGCCCCGACTGCTGACGAGCATATGGAAACCTGCTCTACACCCTTAGCCTTATGGAAAACGCCAAAGAAACTGAGACCCCATCTCCCTCCAGTAAGAGCAGCCATCCTCACAATGGTGATAAGAGCAAGAAATGCTGGTGAGGATGCAGGGAAAGAGAACCCTTGCTATTGCTGAAGGGAGTGCAAACTGGTGCAGCCACTAGGAAAACCAGTGTGGAAGTTCCTAAAAATAGAAGTACTTCTGGCTAAGCTATAGCACTTGGGCATGTACCAGGGGCGATAAAATACAACTTGGTAAGATGTGTTTGCACTATTCATGATACCCAAATTATGGAGACAGTCTGCTTGTCCATCAACAGGTAGATGGATTCAGAAAATACTGCCAGGCTAGTAGAATTTGGGGAAGAAGAAAGGCAGAGATGAGTCGCCAGCCAGCCACAGAGGAAGCAAGATGAGAATGCCTTACTGAGAAAAGATACCAAGTCATGTGGCCAAACACAGATAAGATTATGGGTTAATTTAAGTTGTAAGAGCTTGTTAGTAAGAAGCCTGGTCAATAGGCCCAACAGTTTACAATGAACATAAGCCTCTGTGTGTTTGTTAGGGACTAAACAGCTGAGGGATCGGTGGGACAGAAACTTTCATCTACAATTAATTACTGTTTACCATCTCATAACACACAGTTGTGGAATGATACTAATGACTATCATTTTATTAATGTTCAAGCTTTGCACAAATTTTACCAAGAAGACATAAAGAAAAAGAAGAATAAATACATACTGTTAACACTGCCGAGTTTTGGTATTTATTTTCTGGAGATAAATTAACATAACCTGAAGAATAGGTCCTATTTTTGTCAGGATAACTTCTTATAGAGATTGTCGCATCAAATGCTTCGGTGTAGCCATGAGCTTGAATTACAACATTTTCAGGTGCTCCAGCATGGAAGACTTTGGGTGTTGAAATACCATAGCTGTTGAAAGAGGAAAAGAAAGGCTCACTACCTTTGCAGGTTTTCTCAAATGTCTGATATGTTTTTCTTTCACTCCAG